CTAGAACTACGTAACCCTGATTTCTCATTTTGAATGAGAATACGTAGGAGCAAGGTCAATCCTTGTCGGGCCCAAAAAACTAAAAAAATATGTTTTGTTTATTTAGAATTTTATTTTAGGGGATAATTAAACATTTTGAAAAACCACATCATATTCGTGCATTTAGTTAAAGGTACTGCCTTAGGGCAGGCGTTGTGGGGTGCTAACACCTTCCCCACGCGTAACCGACTCCCGAACCCAATCTTTGGTTTTCGTGGACCGTGCTTTATCGTTTTGAGGTTTTTCCATAGTTTTCCATAATAAACTATGGTGGCGACTCCAAATCTCTTTTTAAAACCCGTTTCTTATTTGGATCGTCGTCCCGTCGCGATTCCGGTTGCGACAATAAGCCTATCTTGATTTAATTCCTTAAAACAAGTTCTAAAATTATCTACTAAATTATTAAATCCTTAATTAATTTAACAAATAACTTTGCATTAATTTCAGATGTTGAGAATGACTAAAAGCACATAAGTTATTCCTAACGTAGTTACTTTGTTTTTCTTACGTTTATGTTCTAAAAATACTTCCCAGTATAAAAGAACGTTTAAAGATAATTATACTTTCGTATAATTATAAGCAAGTCAAGAAAAGCACAAGAACAGTCACATATATTGCCCAAGAAAATTACATTAATGTATTGTCATACAACCAATTCCAATGAACAAAAAAACTAGCCTCTCCTAGACATCTAAAATGTACTTTTTACAGCAATTCCTTGCATAAAGTGAAGTCTTGATGTCTTGAAGTGTCTCTTGAGCATCTCCTAAAGTTCTCCAGTATTTTTCGTGCTCTGTTTGTGTGTCAGAAGATCCTTTCTGTCTTTTTGTCACGTCTTTTTAAGCCACTTAACTTCATTAATTCGCTCCACTCACATGTGTGTATGCGCTGTGCGAATTTTCCTAATTGTTGCACTTCAACTGATGTTATTCACTCAGCGCACAGGTACTGGTGCGCTATGCGAATTTCCTCAATGCACCAACGCACCAATGCAAAGAAGAAAGAAAGAAGAAACGACGAAAATGGAGAATGGTGTGTTAACGAAAATGGAAATGAAGAGAAAGAGAAAAAGTGAGAGTGGGAGGTGGGAGCTTGCGACTGAGTGAAAGTGAAAGGGGATTAGGGTTTTAAAAAATAAAAAGTAAAATAGGTAAAGGTAAAAGTAAAAAGGATAAAATTGAAATTTAAAAAAAAATTGGAAAGGTGTAGGAAGAAGATGGGGTGGTAAAGGGAGTAACTCTCTCGTATTTTACATTTGTGGTGCGAAGGTGCGAATTGGAAACAATGCACTTGCATTCCAGGAGGGAGTGTATGCATTCCGTTAAACTTAGGGTCGACACATTAGTATTGTTTCATGAAGATGATAATCCTATTATAATGTGACTGAGATAATAAAGTTGTCGAATTCACAACAACAGAAAATAAACTTTATATATAATCAAAACATAATCAGTTTATATATTAAATATTTTGACAATGATTTTTTTGTCAAATGTTTGTTTTTATAGAGGTCAATTTGTTACTTTTTTTTTATTCAATTCAACATACCAACCAACATAACTCATTTAAACCTAAAAAAGAATAATCAGCAGATAAAGACATGAGCAACCATCTTAACTTTCCTATCGACAAAAGAAAATGACACTTGTCAATCACTAAAAAATTATTCTTTGATAGTGCAAACTATTCCAACATGCATAAAACTGATCACTCCTTAGAATCCAACGTTTTAGCAAAATATAAGTTGTCTATCCACAGAACGACATCTTATGATCACAAAGAGTGTCAGTAGAGCAAATTCAACCCTAAGGATTGTTGTATATGTTAGAAAATTGCTTGCGGACGGAAACTTGTCCACATTCTAATTTTGTTTTATTTTTTTTATTTATTTTCCCAATTTTAAGGAATCATTATTTTTTATTGATGCATTTTATTTATCCTCATTTTCAACACTGTGGCAAAATGGGTCACCCTCCATTCAGATGTTTGATGAGACCAGATGCCAAATGCATAAAGTGCAATCACATGAGACATGAAGCAGTCATATGCATGAGAAAAATCAATCACAAGAGGAAGAAGCTAAAGTTGTTGAACAAGAGGAGGAGGAAGATCGATTATTTGTGGCCACCTGTTTTGCAAAATGGAAGTTGGCTGATTTATAGTGGTTGCACAAACCATATGACCTATGACAAAACTTGTTGAGTGTTGGCCAATTGATTGAAAGAGGCTTCAAAGTCTCTTTTGAAGACAATTTTTGTTTGATTAGAGACACAGCTAGTCAAGAAATTTTCAAAATCAAAATGAAAGAAAAAAGTTTTGCTCTAAATCCATTGGAGGAAGAGCAAGCTGCCTTTCCTGTCAAGTAGGACATCACAAAATTTTGGCACAAGAGGCTTGGGCATTATCATCACAAGGGCTGCTGAAAATGCAGTCTAAGAAAATGGCAGCTGATTTTCCAGAACTTGATGATCAAATACCAACATGCAAGACATGTCAATTTGGAAAGCAAAAAAGAAATTCATTCCCAAAGTCAACATGGAGAATCACTCACAAATTGCAGCTTATCCACACGGATGTTTCAGGCCCTCACAGAACACCTTCCTTAAAAGGTAGTCTCTATTTTATTACCTTTGATGATGACTTCACCATGATGTGCTGGATTTTTTTTTCTTGAAGTTTAAATCAGAAGTAGCTCAAGTTTTTTGGAAGTTTAAGACAAGAGTTGAGAATGAAAGCAGCTACAAAATTCAGATTGTAAAATCTGATAATGGGATGGAGTATACTTCAGCAGAATGACAGGTTTTGTGAAGATTCAGGCATAGAGCATCAGCTTACATCCCCTTACACACCTCAACAAAATGGAGTTAGTGAGAGTAGAAATAGATACATCATGGAGATGTCAAGATGCATGTTGCATGAGAAGAATTTTCCAAAAAGGTTTTAGGCAGAGACAACAAATACAACTGTGTTTCTTCAAAACAGGCTTCCAACAAAGGCAGTGAGAGAAATGACACCATTTGAGGCATGATATGGTTATAAACCATCTCTAAAATTTCTTAAAGTATTTGGTTGTTTGTGTTTCACTCATGTTCCACAGAGTAAGCGTGACAAACTTGATAGGAGAGCTTCACCAGGCATTTTTATAGGCTACAGTTCTGTTAGTAAAGCCTATAAAATTTTCCAGTCGGGAATATTATATTGTTAGCAGGGATGTTCACTTCATGGAGGATGAACAGTTGAACCTGGATGATGCAGAAAAGAAGGGTCAGAACATGGCATAACTGAAACTCAAGTTTTCTAGTTCAAGCCTTGAAGAATAAGAAGATGACTGGCAGAATCAAACAATGGATGATGCTCCTGTGAGAGAAACAAGGTTACTCTCAGATGTTTATGAAAGGTGCAATATTGTCTTATGTGAACCTGCTGACTATGCAGAAGCAAAATAGGATCAAAGTTGGATAGATGCAATGGAGGAGGAGTTGTCAATGATAGAGAAAAACAAAACTTAGATCCTAGTGGATAAGCATCAAGACAAGAAGGTAATTGGAGTTAAGTAGGTGTTTAAAAATAAACTTAATGTTAATGGCTCAGTCAACAAACACAAAGCTAGGATGGTGGTTAAAGGGTATACCCAAATCTTTGGTGTTGATTATTCTGACACTTTTGCTCCTATTGTTAGATTGGACACAATCAGGTTACTCCTTGCAATAGTTGCACAAAAGAGCTGGAAAGTGTTCCAGTTGGATGTAAAATCAGCCTTCCTAAATGGTATCCTAGAAATTTATGTTGAGCAGCCCCAAGGACTTGTGAAGGAAAGTGGGGGAGATAAAGTCTATCTTCTCAAGAAAGCCCTTTATGGTCTAAAACAAGCCCAAGAGCTTGGTATAGCAAAATTAATGAATATTTGCTGAATTTTGGATTTGAGAAAAGTCTATCAGAAACAACCTTGTATGTCAAGCACAATGACACTAAACAATACAAAACATATGCAAAACTTCAAACAGGAGATGATAAAGGTGTTTGAAATGACAGATCTTGGAGTTATGTCCTACTTCCTTGGCATGGAGATCAAGCAAGGGCAAGGTGAAATTTTCATATGTCGGAAAAAGTATGCAAAGGAAATACTAAAGAAATTTCAAATGGAAGAATGCAAGGCAGTAAGCACTCCAATGAATCAAAAGGAGAAGTTGCACAAAGAAGATGGTGCTAACAATGTTGATGAAGGATATTTTAGAAGCTTGATTGGTTGCTTGATGTACTTCACGACAACAAGGCCTGATATTTTTAATGTTGTAAGTATTCTGTCTCGATTCATGCATTGTGCAAGTGAATTTCATCTCAAGGCTGCCAAAAGAGTGATTCGGTATGTGAAGGGTACAAGTGATTTTGGTGTTAAGTTCACATGGAGCAAAGAATTTAAGCTGGCAAGTTTCTCTGATAGTGACTGGAGAGGTTCTATGGATGATATGAAAAGTACTTCAGGCTACTGTTTTACTCTTGGATCAAGTGTTTTTTCTTGGAGCTCAAAGAAGCAAGAAATTGTAGCTCAATCCATTGCAGAAACTGAGTTTATTACAACAACAGCTGCAGTCAATCAAATTGTATGGTTAAGAAAGATTTTAATGGATAAGTCTGGAGCAAAAAGAAAGTACCAAGATTTTTGTTGACAACCAAGTTGTTATCGCTATTTTTCATAATCCTGTATTTTATGGGAAAACTAAGCATTTCAACATCGAGTTGTTTTTTTTTTAAGAGAAGTGCAGAAAAATAAATTTGTGACTTTGATTTATTGCAAGTCTGAAAATCAACTTGCAGATTTATTTATAAAACCACTTTCAGGTTCCAGGTTCGAGTCTCTAAGGAAAAAAAATTGGTGTTTGGAGCTTCAGAGGCAAGGAAGAGTGTTAGAAAATTACTTCAAACCTAAAACATGTTTACCTTTTAATTCTATTTTTTTTTCCTAGTTTTGTATTTAATGACTTAATTCTAGGAACACATTGTTAGTAAATAATTATTTTAAATTTTATAATTTGTAATGTTTCCTGATTCAATAAAATAAGTTTTTATTATTCTCCTTCCATATATATTTTCCTTTAATATATTTTCTTATTATTTTTGTTTCGTGTTAAAAAAACCTTCCTTTCTTATAAACACCAACAGTATCCTCCGGAAGGTAAAATTCTGATCAGCTAAAGAATTCAAATTTGTGATCTCTTGAATCTTTCGCCTTTATCTTATATAAACTCTTTATTAACTTCTACCATTAAAAGTTTCTCTTGAATTTTCCGTCTTTATCTTATATAAAAAACTCTTTATTAATTTGTACCATTAAACGTCTCTGTTTTGTTTTGTGACTTTTTTTCATATTTTCAAATGTTACTAACATTAAACCTTTATTTAGTAGATCCACAATTAACCTAATGTCTCAATAAAGACATTGGACCTAATATTATATAGTCCCTTTTTAACCTTAGTCTAAAAGAGTATAAGGTTACGAAAGTTCTATCTTTATCCTTTTGTTATTATAGATTACCTTTTACTTTTGTTTAATAATGTCAATAGTCGATCTAGTTACCTTTTGTCTTCTTTAAGCACCTTGAAAGGAAGTCAATATTTCTTCTATGTTGTTAGTTCTTTTGAATGTTTTGATAAGTCATAATGCACCTTAAATGATCATCCAGATTTTGTTTAGTGCTTCGAAAGCATCTTGAAAGGTAACCTTAAAGGTTCAATTTTTTAAAGGATTGACTGAGTTCATATCCTTTTATTTTTTTTAATTCTTTGGCGAAAACTGGTAATCCAATGCACAATGGATTAGCAATGGATTTGAACCAAATCCAGTTAGCTTTACGCTGTTGTGGGCAGCTTCAAGCTATCAAACATGCTAAATCACTTCATTCCCATATAATAAAACTTGGTCTTTTCAATCACGTTTTTCTCCTAAACAACATGATTTCTGTGTACGCAAAATCCTCCCATTTTGACGATGCACGAACCCTTTTCGACGATATGCCTCACAGGAACATAATTTCTTACACAACAATGGTCTCTGCACTCACCAATTCCGGGAGACCCCAAGATGCTCTCACACTCTATAACCACATGCTGGAATCTAAAACAGTGCAACCCAATCAGTTCTTGTACTCAGCGGTTCTCAAGGCATGTGGAGTCGCCGGTGATGTTGAATCGGGCAAGTTGGTTCACCGACGTGTATATCGGGCAAGGTTAGAGTGTGACACTGTTCTGATGAATGCCCTCTTGGACATGTACGTCAAATGTAGAAGCTTGGCTGATGCAAAACGAGTTTTCTACGACATGCCGTGTAAAAATTCTACTTCATGGAACACCCTCATTCTCGGGCATGCCAAGCAGGGTTCTGTGAAGGATGCGTTGGATCTGTTTGATCAAATGCCAGAACCAGACATTGTGTCTTGGAACAGCATCATTGCTGGTCTTGCAGATACTTATAGCTTCCATGCATTACAATTTGTTTCTATGATGCACATGAAGGGCCTTAAACTTGATGCATTCACATTTCCATGTGCCCTCAAAGCGTGTACTCTGCTTGGCAAGTTAACTGTGGGGAGACAGATTCATTGTTGTATTATCAAGTCAGGGTTTGAGTGTAGCTATTACTGTACATCAGCATTGATTGATATGTATTCGAATTGCAAGCTATTGGATGAAGCAATGAATATATTTCATAAGAACTCTCCTCTTGCTGAAAGCTTGGCAGTGTGGAATTCCATGCTTTCAGGGTTTGTTGCCAATGGAGATTGGTGGAAGGCTCTCAGTATGATTGCTCATATGCATCATTCTGGTGCACAGTTTGATCCCTATACCTTTAGTGTTGCTTTAAAGGTCTGCATCCACTTTGAAAACTTGAGGTTGACATCTCAAGTGCATGGATTGGTCATCACTAGTGGCTATGAGTTAGACTATGTTATTGGAAGCATTTTTATTGATCTATATGTAAAACAAGGCAATATTAACAATGCATTAAGATTGTTTGAAAGGTTGCCAGATAAAGATGTTGTGGCTTGGTCTAGTTTGATTCTTGGTTGTGCTAGATTTGGTCTAGATACAATGGCTCTTTCCCTCTTCATGGATATGGTTCATTTGGATCTTGAGATTGATCATTTTGTCCTTTCAATTATTCTGAAAGTTTCTTCAAGTTTGGCATTGCTTCCAAGTGGCAAGCAAGTTCATTCTTTTTGTCTTAAGAAGGGATATGAATCAGAGCGAGTTATTACAACTGCTCTTACTGATATGTATGCAAAATGTGGTGAGATTGAGGATGCCTTAACTTTATTTAATTGTCTTTCCGAAGTAGATACCTTGAGTTGGACTGGGATTATTGTGGGATGTGCACAAAATGGAAGAGCAGACAAGGCAATTAGTCTTCTGCATAAGATGATTGAATCGGGTACAAAGCCAAACGAAATCACCATTATAGGTGTTCTTTCTGCATGTAGACATGCAGGCCTAGTAGAAGAGGCATGGACTATATTTAAGTCTATTGAAACAAAGCATGGATTGACACCATGCCCTGAACATTACAATTGTATGGTTGATATATTAGCTCAAGCTGGACGTTTTAAAGAAGCAATAAACTTGATTAATGACATGCCGTTTAAGCCTGACAAAACCATATGGTGTTCCTTGCTTGGTGCCTGTGGAACTTACAAGAATCGACATCTTGCAAAAATTGTTGCTGAGCATCTTCTTGCTACCTCACCTGAAGATGCTTCTGTGTATATAATGCTATCAAATGTTTATGCATCACTTGGAATGTGGGATAATTTAAGCAGAGTACGAGAAGCTGTCCGAAAAGTAGGTATAAAAGGGGCTGGAAAAAGCTGGATTGAGATCTTTAGTTGAGAAAGCTGGTTATGTGAATGGCTTGGTTCAACTAGCTTAATCGCTCGTTCTATATTTCCAGACAACTCAATGATTGTTCTAACTTAAAAGGAATATTATGTGACTGGAGTTTGTACGGTGAAAGACATTCTTTACGTTTTGTTGACTTCAATTAGAAGGTAAAAGCACGGAAGTGTCTAATTTTGGATGGAAGATACTAGAAATACTACAACGAAGAATACAAATTAAGTATAACGTGCGCAGCAGTTCAATCCGATAAGCCTTTGCATGCTTGCTATTGCCATGAGGCTTCACACATTCAATGTTTTCCTTCCCCAACAAAGGTACAAACTAAAAAGGTAAATACAAAGTGAACTTTCAATAGCATTAAGACGTTATAATTTTAATTAATCAATTTCAGTTTTATATTAACTACAATATAATTAACCTCGTATACCGTATTTCATTTAAGGAACTCAAATTTGGTTAAAATCAGAGGTATCAGAGTCATCCATGACACTTGAATTGTAAGTGTCTGAAAATTTGTTGTAATTCTAATAGTTAAATTAGTACCTTTTATGTAATTTTTAATTTTACATAACATTTTGCACATTAGTATTGTAATTAACTAAACCTTTTCTGAATTCTTTTGCTATATCAATTGTTGTTTGGCAGAAGTCATCAGGATTCAGGTCTAAGCTCATCTTTTAGCACGGTTTACCAGCTTGACATGTTCAGCTTACGGTAACATTGGCCAATATTAATTATTATTGAGTGTTGAATTTTAGGGAATGGATTGCTAATTCATTATTAGTTAGTTATCTAAAAGTCAATTTAATTTATAAACCAACGCCTCTTTTATAGTGTTGAGTTTAAGAGAATGGATCAATAAAGAGTCTGTTGCAAGCATTTTTCATTTTATTTGTCATTTGAGTGTAATAATTCATTTTCTCTTAATAAATAATTCTAAGAGAGATTTAAGATTATGATTATATTAAATACAAAAAAGTGATAATGACAAAGCATTAATGATTATCGGGTTTAGGTGTACTTCTTTTTCTTTTCATTTGTCCACTTCTGAAATAAAATTATGTCTGTGTTATCTGCTTATATAGTAAGTTAAAAATAAGATAAATGGGAATAGTAATTACAAATTTTAATATATGCATCATCTTCCAAAGTAGATAGATAAAAAGAAATGTAGTATGCTGTATAAATAACTCCTAAATTTTACTGACAATTTTTATGCTTTTAGGTTGTCTTTCCGAACAGTAAGTTGAAGATATATTTGGCTGGGAGTTGACTTATCTTGAATGAATCGTTCTGTAATTTGGAAATGCCATTGGGGACCAACATCATCACTTTCTCATTCTTCTTCTTTTTGTCTTTTCTCGGTCTGTCCTATTGCTCGAGTGAGGACAGATTGAGACACCACTAAGCAGCAGCAATAATATGTTGGAGGTGGACAAGAACCTCTGAAGCTACGTCTTCCACTTTATGGATTATATGATTAGAGGGAGGGTGAATTCTAACTATCTAGTCCGAGGGAAACAAAAGTAAAATGCTGCTCAAAGTTTGATGTGTAACAATTTTGAAGCCGCTAATTTTCGTAGTACTTACATTACTTACGTTTTATGTACTTGAAGGTCATTCATGTTCCATGTTATGTATTAGGCTTGGCCCTGATTGGAAATATGTCATGGACCAATTTGGTCTTTCCAAGCCTCCGTGATGAGTCGAGGCTGCTTGGTATGAGTTGCAAGTTTGAACAGAAGTTGGGGCATCTAAATTTGGAGAGCAGTGTTCTTGGGAATCCAGTCAGCAACTGCAATACAGTCCAAACCACATGAACGACCCATCATCACCAGTGCCTAACACTAGGGACATGGGTAGGTCCCATTAGAAGAAGAGAAGATTAAATGGTGAACCCCACCTCCTCATCATCACTCACTGTAAGCTTCCTGCATAAGGCCGAGTCATTGCTGAGCAAAGTCTCTACTGCATGCTAGTGGCAGTGAGTGACATTGTGACAGTCTTACATGGATTTTAATTTTTGAAGTCTTCTATGGAATTTATTCTCGTGCCATGTTCATTTCTTTCTCAATCATCGCACCCACTTTTGTCTCCCGACTCTTACTTTTTTCTGACTTCTTACTGCTAGCTTTTATTTTTGTTTCGATCTTAGCAAGGCATGTCAAGTTCTGATTCCTTCACTGTTCCCAATAACCAGGAAACACTGCCAAAATTACCGCGAAACTACCACGCCCAAATGCTTTCCTGCCCACACTTTTCGCGCCATATTTGTTTGCTATCAAAAAAAGCTGAGTTGTCGCTGGTCACTCTGCAGTAGTGAGTAAACCAAACTCAATCAGACTTCTTTAGCCACAAGCATTACAGGGACCAGGTGGGTACATCATAACGTGGCAGATGATAATTGTCAAGGCTTAGTGCGCCATAGAAAACAGTTTTTAGTGATCTGTGTTATAATATTCACAATTATCTTGACATTGTGGTGAGGTGATTGTTAAGCCCACGCCGAGTTGCTTAAATTTGAGTAACGATGGCCAATGCGATCTTAATCATAACACAATGAGTACAAAACAGGAGTCAACTTGTTCCGGATTCGATGGAAACGCACTACACCATACAAATCTACATTTCTAATAAAAAAAAAACACAAATCTAGATCATACGCGCGACCCTTATTAAACCGTTTGTGAAGGACTTACTTGTTCTTAGCTGATGTCATGGGAGTTTCTACTCCTCGTCTTATTTCCTTATAATGTTCCTTACATGTGTTTGTCTGTGTGAGGGACTTCAGTTCAATCAACTTTAATAATAATACTATAATAGCGCACTTAAAAAATGTTACTACGTATATCAAGCTATTATAAGAATTACGAAGTGTTATAGAATTCAACTTAAAGAGAAAACAAGCACTTCAATAAAACAGTTAGCCAAAATAAATATGGTTTCAATAAGAAGCAAGTGCCGAAGATTTTATGTTATCTTATTTTAGAAGTGCCCTTTGTCTCTGGAGTGTGTTCGTTGTTGCATTGACCTGTTTTTTCCTGGTAGAGACCTGGCCTTTGACCCTGACCATTATTTTCTGCACTAAAAGGGTTTATGGGGCTTCCACTAAGTGAGATATGATATGAGTGTAGTAGATGTAAGCAACCTTTTTGCAGTAACGGATTAAATTATAAAATGCTTTCTACTTGCTTACCTTTATGTAAAGTTCACAAAAATATATAAAGATAGACGAATGCTGAGACCGTTTGTATAAAGTTCGCAAGAATAATTGGGGAGTACTTTCAAGAACATTGTCTATCAAGTCTTCTTTTCTCGTTCAATTTTCAGACCGTTTGTTTTATTATCGTTGGAAAAATTGAGCGTTGAGGCTATAGAAGATTGTTGAGCTCTCCTCATGTTGTGATGAGATTATTAAAAAAATTATCAATTTCTCATCCGACTTCAAGACAGAAACAGTTGAGAGAGGTTTTCTCTCACATTTAGTATCTATTATTATGCTCAAGAAACATTCAACAAAAATGTAATCATGGGATAAATAGTTTAAAACGTGTGGAAGAAGCACACAAAAATTACAAGTTTAAACAAGGCTTAATTTTCTCAGTAGGATATCTTTCTACTTTAGATAAGTTTTGATGGAGTAAAATTATAAAGCTGATAAATAAAGCAAACTTGATGGCTCGTGTAAGACGTATAGGTTCTGTCAGTATATGCATTGAATGGATAAAGGAAAGCCACTTCTTTAATAGTCATCTGAAATACATAAACAATAAATGAGACAAAAGTCTTACCTTAGCTAAATGTACAGAAAATAAAGGCTTATCATGCGGTTAATATATAACTGTTATAGTAATATACAGTCGTTGATTAAATCTGCCATGGATTGGAGAGTCAGTGATACCAGCCAACACATACAAAAATGATCTGAGACTGATCTATACTCCCCCCATAAAGCACCAACGAAATAATCAACCAGATGATGCTAGAACTTAAAAAGAGCTAACAAAACAAAGGAACTGATATATGAAAGGAAGTTGTGACCTCACTCACCCCCCAATCCAACAACACATATCATCAAAAGCCACTATAGATTACAACAAAGCAAGGCAAAATGGCTCTTGGGTTGAATACAACCAACTCATCCAAATTGGAATAAGCCCCAACAGCCCCTGCAACCGAATCATACTCCTCCATGCCTCCTTCTGCATTCTTCTTCACCCTTCCTGCTATAACCCGACAAACCAGCATTGCTCTCTTCTCTTCACTCTCATCCACACACGCCTTGTCGTGAGCCTTCCCACTCGTTGCCGTTGTCAAGATACCGCTTCCTCCGGTAACCTTGAACCCGTGCTTGATTATGCTGCAAATGTTGCACTGTGGAACGGAGTTGCACAAGTTGGAGGACCCGTTTAGGCCTAGAGAACACGCGAAGGAGGTGCAGTGAAACCTGAGTAGCTCGTTGCCATCTGCTATGCAACGTGGGTGTTTCTTGGGGAGTTTCGTGGCCTTTGCTTTTATGGAATCTCTGTATTCTTCGAATCTGGTAATGGTTTTCTGGGTGTTGTGGACCTTGAGGATGCGGTCTATTTTGCACACTGGAGATTGCTTCTTCAGCCAGCTGGAGTGGAATATTATTTCAACTATGTTCTTGCTGGTGTCTTCTGGACCCAGTTCAGAAACTGAAATTGGTAACGGGAAGAAAAAAAGGTAGGTAAAACATTAGTCATGGTACATTGGTATCATCATTAAAATCATAGATGATAAAGTGACAAACACATCAACATGTCGATTATGATGTTTATATAAATAAGCACACTTCATCCCAGAGAACAAGAAAATAAAGCAAATTACACTAAAACTAACCTATGAATATCAGTTTTGAAGAAAAAATTAGATGAGATATATGTCATGCTTACAATGTAGAAACTACACCTGTTAGCTTCATAGAATCAGATACATGTGAGACCAAACACACTGAAAACTTAAATAAAAATGCAGAGAAAAGCTTATTTTCTTCTAATGAAAATTGAAAGCATCACATCATACGATACCTGCATGTTTGACTGCCTGGTGATGCTCCAAGCTTTCAGCTTTCATGATCTCGCCACAGTCGGGACAAGAACAAATGCTACTCCTGAGAGAAGGATCTCTAGTGAAGCCTAGAACCGGGTCTACCACCATTCTACACTCATAACAGCCAGAAAGTCTCCTGAATGGCATTCCCCTGAAAGAGCCAGCGCCAGAAGAACTGGAAGATGCTGACAATGAAGAGGAAGAAGCTGAAACGGGTCCATTGTGTTCGGTAAGAGGTGCTTTCATGGATCTGCTGGAAGCATCGTTGCTGTTGCATCCATTTAGAAACAACCTTTTCTTGTGGATATCTGGGGTTGATGTGTCCGGCTTTGCCGTGATCTTGGTGTTGTTACAAAGCGAACCTGAGCACTTCATCTTCTTGCACTTCTTGCTGTTATCTTCCGGGATTCTTTCCTCTTGCAGCTTTCTCTGTTCCTGTTTTTTCCTGTGTTGATGATCTTTTGCTTCTGGAGGTGGTTTTGCTTCCTTCTGCTGCTGCTGCTGATGTTGCTGGATTTGAACATTCCTACAAGCCAACAGGCCTCTTACCACCCATGAAGGTTGTTTTTCTGTTTTCTGTAGCTCTTGGTTTTGGTTTTGGCTGACATGTTTGGTAATGGTTGGTTTTCTTTGGGTTTTGGGTTTGCTCATTGTAGAAAGGATGGAAGTTTCTTGAGCTTACAAATGATGGCTTTAGAACAAGGTTGGAACTAGAACAAGATTCTGAATTTGAGTCATTTAGGAGTTGAATGAAAGTGTTAA